TGTCAATATTTAACAATTATAATAGTAATAGAAGTAGTCGTAGTAGTAGGACTAGTAGGACTAGTAAAAATAGTGATTATTTACAAGTTCCTACGACATATCCATCACCTAATAATGAAGATGATGATAATTCAAAGAAATCAAAGAGTAAAGTTATAAGAAGAACTATAATAATAACGAAACCGTTTTTACCACCTTTGCCAGAAGATTTATCACCCGGAGCTAATTCATCCACACCACCATCACCCGGAAGTGTTAAATTTGTCTCATTAGTAAATCGTAGGTTAACAAAAAAGAAAATTATACATCTTGCAGCTGATGGACGAAAATGGTTCCTGTCTAAGCGGGGTAAAGATAATAATTTAGATGATGAAAATAATAAAGAAAAGGCAGGTAGATTATCACAACAAAGTTCAATCAATACAGATGATACAAATGACACAAACAATTTAGCCATACCAATACCCGAACGAAGTTCATTATACCGATCACCAACACCGATTCCATCACCTAATACGCGAGATAGTGTAATGAATGTACCATATGGAATTCCTATACCACCAATTCCAGCTCCTCATCGACAAAGTATTTCTTCAAAAAGAACAAGTAAAAGTAGCACCTATTCTTCGAATAGTAAATATCGAAAAAGTATTAGTGGAAAGAGTAATTATAGTGGCTATGGAGATAGTTTATATGACTGTTATGATTATTCGGACCAAGAGGCTGCCGATGATGAAGGAGAAGAAGAAAACGGATCAAAAAGGCACAAACTAGATACAGGTACCGTAGATCCTATACAATGGAGTACTATTAAAGATCGAGAATTTGGAGATGAAGATTCCATTTTAAACAATAATAATATGGATGGTGAGAATGTAAAAGATACGATGGCTTCAATTGAGGGAAATGGAGAATTATTAGAACATCAACACGTTGAAGTTTTAGAAATGAGTGATGGATCATTTTTATGGCAAGTGGTGGATGGATTACGCGACGAAAATCTAGATGATCAATTCAATTATTATTATGATTATGATGACGAGGATGAAAATACCTATTTACAAGCTATACCACTGGAACCTGGAATGAATAATGATAATGTTGATTTTAATGACAATTCATTAGTCAAATCAGATTCTAGGTATAGTCATTTAGATTATTATTATGATACCAGTTTTCCAAGTCCATTGCATGTACCTGGTGTGATGCCACGGAGAAAATCACTCGAAAATTCTATGCCTAGTACAAGTATATATTTTGCCAATGATATACCTTTACCCAAATTACTTGGAGAGATGACAAAAGGATTGGGGGGTGTTAATTTAGATAATGGGAATAATCATTATGTTTATGGTGGGGGGATTGAGAGTGGTGGAACTGGTATTGTTACGGGTATGACTGTAGAGGAGCATTTGGATCAAGTGATGAAGGCACTTGGAGTTGATGAAAAAGAAATTTTGTAT